ATCTATGCCCCTGTTCAGCATGAAGAAGCCAGAGAGTTGGCATCCAATTCCCAAATCAATAAGACAGTTGGTTTAATTACTACTGGAAAATGCTTGTCATTACTCTGTAGCATCTAGTCCCCACTGGACCCTCATCATTTCCTTCACCTGCTCCCCCCACCGACCCAACTGTGCAGCTCTGCAACTGCATCCTGGCCCATCCTCACCCTTCTGACCCCAACCCTCACCTCCTTGTACCCCCAATATGTTTTTCCCAATAAAAAAAAATATTAATAAAAAAAAAAAGAAGAGCAGTTTTGTGAAGACAGCTGTCAGCTGAGCCAGCATGCACTGAGCCAGTACACAAATGTGTACAGGAATTTAAGATCACACTGATTAACAGACAAAGGCAAAGAACACAGAAGTTCAGTCTGAGTTGGGCTTTGCAGGATGAAGAGAGTACAATTCAGATGACTAAAGTGAGGGAAAAGCATTTTAGATAGTGAACAGTTAATATTTAGGGACAAACTCCATTGCTATATTGAGAGACCAGAAAATAATTTGATATGCCTGACATGTAAGGTGGTATGTGAAGGTGGTAAACGGAAGAGGTAGGAAGGGTCAGATAAGAGACCGAAGTAAATGATACATGTAGAGAAACTTGGTTAACACAAACTCCAAGACAGTATTTTAGAAAGATTACTAGGGCAGCACTAAGTAATGTAAACTGCAGCATGAGAAGAGTTATAAGGCAAACATGGCAATCCTAAGTGAGAGATGATGGTGAGAATGCAGAGACCAGCAGAGGAGATGGAAAAAAGATTTGAAAGACATTTAGGAGATAAAACTGGTAGAATCTAGAGATTTTCCAGAGAGCAGAATGTTGGTAGTGGGGGAAAGACTATGGGACAAGAGAAAAGAATTAGGTTTCTGGTTTTTACAGCCATGTAATATAATTAACCAAGGTAGAGAAAATGATAATTAAAAGCTCTAATAAGGAAGAAAGAACTCTTTTCCAAACATTACAATCTTAAACAAAGAATATGGTTTCCTAAAACTCAGAAGAAACCTCTAAGAAAAATCAACCGAGAATTATATTTTCACTGTTTTACTGAGTTATTAAAACATGCATGTGATTTGTTTTCTTCTTTAAAGTAGAGAGATAAGACTTACCCTAGCCAAGAGTTCAAACTCTGGGGCAAAATTTTGGCAAGGCCCACACCATGGAGCATAGAAATCAACCACCCAGTGATTTTTCCCTTGTAAAACTTTCTCATTGAAAGTCTGAGGTGTTAGCTCTATGGAGACTTGAGGTAAAAATCTGTGAAAGGAGATCAAATGATTTTCCATTATTAAAAAACAAACATCAGAAGTGTAATATTGTAAAGTTTCGGCAATATAGGATAGCCATAATGTGAAAATTGGTAATTATTTACAAAGTACATTAAAATGTTAGAGTCTTAAACAACAGAAAATGAAATTATAGACACAAGAGGAAGGTAATGGGCTTTGAATCTGTTTACACAATGACACTTATTTTAATTACTCACCCTAGACCCCAGATTCTTAAGGAATATGCATCCCTACTCCAACCATTGTAGCTACTGCAAGAAGAAAAATAAAATTATTATATTATTTGCTAGGATTAGGTATATGGGAAAAATATCATCTTAGTGTAGATAAATCTGTTTGACTTCATATATTATCTCTCTTCTCATATGGGTTCCACTGCAATTAATATGCATATAGCTCCCCAAATATATTTTTCTTTAGTCTTGATGGTCTTTTTGAGTTCTAGACTTGCCTACCAGATACCTCCATGGACTTATAAGAACAGCAAAGCTTAAATGTTTCTCAGTCTTTACTCAAGGTGTAAGTCAAATTCCCACTCATGTAAAAGAAAATCCATGTCTAGGCACATTATGAATGCAGCATTTCATTTCCTTTTTCTGTGAAATTCATGGTTTATTTTTACTTCTTCAGTAACTTTAAATGTATTCTGCCTTGGATGTATGTTTTCTACCTGAAACATTGAATACTGCTGAGTTGGAACTAACTCATAACTCCAGTGGGTTTTCAGAGGCAGTAAACTGTCTGGGAAAAGAATGCCCATCTTTCTCCCACAGAGTAGCTGGTGGATTTGAACTGCGTACCCTTGGGTTAGCAGCACAGCTTCTTTACCATTAGGCCACCAGGGTACCTTGGAAAGTACACAGACATCAAGGAAGACTTGAGTGCAAACCTCAATAGCGGCATGATTGGGAACACTGTTTAATGTCTATGAATTAGTTTACATATCTGTAAATTAGGGTAATGGTTTCTATTTTATAGGGTACTTGTGTGAACTAACAGAAAGAACAGTATCTGTAATCAAGGTGGAAGCTAGTAAATATCAGTTCTTCCATTCTTTATCCTGGTCTCTGTTAGACTGTAAATGTGATGGAGTGGGGGGGGGGTGTGTGTGTGTGTGTGTGTTTGATTCTTTCTTTTGTTCTTGGAAAGGCTCTCATTAAGCACTTCATCTTAACCACTACAGACTTATAATAAATACTTCCAGACTGACTTTTTAATTAGTTAGAATAACTTCTAAATATTAATTGTGTACATAAGTTTTTATAACAAATGCCTTAAAATTTTAGAGGGTACTTACTAATATTCATAAGCTTTATTTGATTTTTGAGGAAAAAATCTTATCTCAGGGTATCTCTGGACGTTTTCTTGGGCACAAAAAGAATGATACTGTTGGCAATCTACACTACCAACATTGATTAATCCAGTTAAAGTCTGTAAAATTTAAAAAAAAAAGAGTAACTGTTAAAATGTGATTACAATAAAAGGGACCTCCATAATCATACATGTTTACAATAAAAGCTGCCTCTGTACTATTAGGGACTCTAATAAAACTGAACTTCTCACAGACTATTTAAATTAATGAACTGGAAATCCAATTTAGTGGTCAAGAATTTACTGTAATTATTGCAGATTAGTCAGCTGAGTTCATTCATTACATGAAAAACTATGTATTTCTAAAATTAAGGATTACAAATGAAGAACTAATGTCTTTGGAATGATGTTTCAAAGGTTTACATATTTATAATGCAGAAACATTTGAAGAGAAATTTTGGAAACAGGAGTGGCATCCACTTCCTAAATAATAAGCCTCTGGAACTCTATGAACTTTGATAAATGTCGATAGTTGTAGAGAAGCTTCAGACCTTTTGTTCATAGGGTTGCTATGAATTGTGCTCGACTTGAAGGCAATGAACAACAACAACAATGCAGATAAGCACTGTAGATATATTGACTAGTATGAGAATGCTTTAAAAATATTGGAGAGAAAAAAAATATTGGAGAGGACAAACATGTAACAAATGTTAAGATAAATGATAATCTAACTCTGGAGATATCTTTTAATCTTAGAAAGATATATAACATATTAATTACATCTTCCATTCTAATATTCAGGTAATTTGTTTCTGTTTTTCATGATTTATATCATTGTGCCTAACTGGAGCAAATTTTCTAGATCCATCATTTAATGAGCAAGGCTATTATTTCCTTACTTTCTAAGTTTCACATTATTGTGAAGAAATGTAAGTAGAAATCAAATGGGATCACTGAGGCACGGCTGATGGTCATTTGGTCAAAAGTCAGCTAGGATATACAGTAAAAACAGGCAAATGATTCTGCATTATTCACATACCAGTAGTTTGAACACAGTACAAGCAGAATGATAAGAACGGTTATTAAATTATAAATAGTTGTAGGTTCACTCATACTAATTTCAAAGTAATAAATATACCTTCTCATTTACTGAGATCTAAAAAGAAATATTTTACTGTACCCGGGCCATTCTTTTCCATTCTGGCATTAACATTTGACACGGATGACACCATGGAGAATAGAAATCAACCATCCAGACTTCATCAGGTTTTCTTTGTTTAACTAGTTCATTAAAAGTGGTGGGTGTAAGGGAGACCACTGAAGGATTCCTAAGATCCTAAAGAGAACCAAGTTTCCATTAAAACAATATAAAGAAATCTTACTTATACATTCTTTGTAAATTGTTGGTCTATAACATTTAGAAAGGTTCCTCTTTTGTTGAAATCAGAAGATATTTAATAGAAATCTAGGGTTAATCTTAGAAAAAGTGAGAAATGAGTCCCAGTTTTAATTTGTATTTTTTTCCCCAGCAATTTTTCTATATCTAATTGCTTTTCCCCTTTATCTCTTTATCTCTGCAGTCATGTTAGGGAGAAAACAACCACTTTGATTACTGTTATAAGGAAATGATGCAAAAATTCGGATTTCCTGAGATTATCTACATAGATCATATACCTCTCTTCTGAAACAAATAAACAAAAAAAATTACTGCTTCAGTCTGTTATGCTCAAGTAATACTAACCAGATTAGCTTCATCAAAAAAGTGATCAAAATCAGACCACAATAAACATAACACATGTGACACTACTACTCTTAGGAAGAGCTAAGTAGAAAAGAAATGAAAATTGTCATGAAATGGAGTAACAGTAGACAGAAGTCTTGCTCTTTCCCTAGGAAGCTTCTGTAACTAGTCAACTTAGTCCATTTAGAGAGAAGGAAAAGTAGCTCTCAAACATGCACAGATGTAGGACCTGTCTGTCCTAAGAAGGTAGCAGTTACACTTCAAGCTCTGTGGCCCTGGAGAAGCCTGTCAAGATTACCAGTACCTTCGTATTTCTTGAGTAATACTGAGCTTACTCCTTTGTCATCTATTTAGGGCCTGAATGGACATAGTCTCTGGTGGTTCCATCAGAAAAAAGGAAAGAGGAAACCAGGTTTTATATCTTTATGTAAACAAAATAGTGTGTCTACTAATTATTACACAAATTGGTAAAAAAAAAAAATCATAGGCCTTATTTTCAGAGTTTACAGTCAAATATATAAAAGGTAACACTTTAAAAGAAATTAATTTTCTTATAAGAATGATTTAGCACAAAAAGACTAAACCCAGTTATCAAATGTTATTAATTATCCATATGAAGTATACACTGGATTTGTAGCAACAGGTTAAAATTAAAAATACCTCTATGAACTCCAAGATCTGTTCTGCAGAGTGATGTCCTTCATACTCATGAATGCTCGACTGGTTAAATACCACTGTTGTTGGATAAGCCTGAATGTTATACTGTTAGGAATAAGAATACAAATTAGACAGAAAACACTTCCATATTTTACCTAATTATTTTAAATTTGTAACTAGTTTACCTTTATTTAAGTTTTTAAAAAACAAAACCTACTAAAAACCAAAGACCTTGTATCAAACTGCTGCTGGTAACCAAAAAATTCAGTCTGATCAAAGTAAAGGGATTGAAGATTGTACTGATTAATAAATGACGCTCAATTTATGGTTACTCCGTTGGTCATGAAGTTGATAAGACACAGATCACTGAGAAGTGAGTATGTGTGATCCCTATATACACTCCTAAACCAGGTGGGAAGAAGCTGTGTAAAGGAGGCCAAATCTTTAGATTTGAGGGTTTTTTGAAGCCATTGATGATAATCTAATTTCTAATTTCTCTAGTAGTAGAAGAAAATTGGGGAAATAAACAATGAAGAAAAGTAAAGGAATAAATTAGTAATTAATGCGCTATTACGTTGAGTCGGAACCAACCCATAGCTGAGCGTCCAGTGGGTTTTCAGAGGCAGTACTCACTCACATGGGAAGAGATTGCCATTTCTTCTCCCGTGGAGCTGGCAGAATTGAACTGCATGCCTTTGGGATTGCAGCACAGATTCTTACCACCAGGCCACACTACTGTATTTTAGATCAAAGAATCATGCTCTAAAAATGTGATAGTATAAAATGTAATGACTCTCTTCTCAGAATCAGTATGAGCACCAGCCTAGAAAGTTGCTTTCTCAAATTTATATTCTTTTTCAAAACTATAAGGGATCATTATCTGTGGTTAAGGTATCCTGGTGGCTGAGAAGTATTCAGCAGTTATGTGAGAGATGGACAGTTTGGCTCTACTAGCCACTCCATGGGACAAGGCACACATCTTGTTTTTAGAGTCTTTGAAATGCTATTAGGCAACAACACACTTAGAGGGCCATTGACTTGATGATCCAAATTGACTTGATGGCACTGAGATTGGCTTTTGGTTTCAGGGTGAGATGGGCAATGTGCTAACTGAAAGGTGGTTGTAGAGGAAAAGGCCTAGCAATTTGCTCTCAGCTTAAGAAACAATACTGGCAGTTCTATTCTGTCTTATATGGGTTGCTAAAAATCAGAATCAACTCTTATGGCAAACATCTGTGGACTTGCATTCTTAAAGTTGATTAGCACATATAAAAATGGAAATCCTTGACTAAGATTTAGAAACTGGAATATTTGACTAGGATTTTTATAGCAAAGAATACAGATTCTTTGATATAAAAACCTTATTTTTTAAATTTGAGAATAAATCCAAATAATTCAGGAAGGTAACAAAACAACTATATTGTTGCTTCTATCACTGCGTTGGAATTGATCTGTATCTGACCCTCTAGCAGGTTTTCAGAGGCAGTTAATCACATGGGAGGAGGCTGCCCATCTTTCTCCCACAGGGCAGCTAATGGACTCCAAACACGTGTCTTTGGGATTGAAGTGCAGCTTCTTGCCCCTAGGCCACCACAGGTCCCTAAAAACTATAGTGAACTTCTAATAAGTGCTTATTTATGAATTCAATATGTAGTTTCTTAACTATTTTTCATTATAATTCTCTCTGGTAGCTAAAATAACTACATTTACAGAGGCTCTCAGTGGTTAAAAGACATGCGCAATATCAACCAGTTAATGGGGTAAAATTCAGCCCTCATAGCTACGTCACATATATGGATTCAGTAAGCTGAGGGAGGAGCTGGTGATTTGAACAGACGGCTTTTGGAGTTTTTGTTTTTTTTAATTTTTTTTTTTACAGCTTTTGGATTAACAATACAACACACTATGGATGACACCACCAGACTTTAACTGGATTAAGTTTGATTTGTTTTCCCCCAAGAATATAGTTCATAGATGGTTTTTTATACCTTTATCATAAACTATCTAATTCCCAGTTTTGTCCTTGACTTTGGGACTATTACTATCTTAGGTTTGTTAGTAACCTAATAAAACATTTCCTCATGAAAATTTTTCAAAGAAGCTCATTTAGTTTCTTTTTCTTCTATTAATTATAATTACAAGTATGAGGAAAGAAAAAGAATAACCACAGACGGCCAAAAGGTTAATTTTTAAATTAAAGTTATACAAATTCGTGCCATTGAGTTGGTTCTGATTCACCATGTGACCATACAGAAGAAGAGAAGTGCCCCAGTTTCCTCTTTACAGAAGCAGATTCCCACATTTTTCTCCTATATGGTGGACCTGTCCCCTTTTGGTTAGCCACGTGAGTATTTAACCACTTTGCTATCAGGGCTCCTAAATATAGATATGGTCTTATTTACCAAAATCAGAAAAGTATTTAGGTGATTTGGAAAAAAGTTTACACTGTTTTCTGAAGCTCAGACTTCTATATATCAATTGACATATATAACATATGTTTAAATAATTACAAAATCAATGTAAACATTTTACCAAGTTTCCTAAATATTTTCCTAACATTGATAAAGAACACTGAGAAACATGTACAATCTTATCTGTCTTTTAATCTGATCTTTTATCATTTTGTTGAAATTTTGCTTAAGTTACTTGTTACTACTCTAAATTGAAGATGTACATATCAAAGTCATTTTATCACAATGCCAGTATTTTTTTAAAAAAGAATTAAAAGAAATGTTTACACTTGTGCCTTACCATACTACAGAGTCCCTCATGAACTGTACAATCCAATGTACCAAACTTAAGCTGACCATAAAGATGCTTTGAAGCCTTCCGTAACTCCGGTAGTAAAGCTCGGCAAGGGGGACACCACTAGGAAAGATGAAAAAAATTCACAAGCATTGACCCAAATGAAATAGAATTCTGCAACAAACAGCAAGCAAATCTGAACCAAGATGCAAATTTAGATTGACAAGTACATTAATGCTCACTTAGAAATAATATATGATAGTAGCCAACAACAGATGATACAGTTTTACTCTTAATGGTTCAAGGTTATCCAGAAAATGTCTTTTTCCCCCAATATGGCAAGAGGAAATGCAACAATATGGAAATTTAACAGATATAAAAATAACTTACCGGGGCAAAAAAATCAACAAGCCATGGTTCTTTGTCATTGGCAGGAAAATTTTGAGGTCCAAGTGTGGTAACATGAGAATTAACACTTTCTTTGGCAAATGCAAGTATATCATACAGAATCATCTTTCCTTTGAGATGGAATAAAAGAAAAATTTAAAATCCACATTCTACTTTTTGTATCTATAGAAACATTTCTAAGTTTTTATCCCAAAATATTCAAGTTGAGATTTAATTGCTCAGTCTGCTACATGCAGGTCTGCTTTCGGAAGTGCTCTTACCTAGCACTTCTTTGTTTCTCAGACAATCAAGCATATTACAAAGACTTCTTACAAATGTTCTTTCATCGGCAGAGGCTGATTAATTACTTCATTATGGGGTTCCTACAGTTCTTTATGCTAACCTCAGCTATTACTGCAGAATTACTAAATCAGCATCTTTAGCCTGTACCTTTCTCAAGAATTCAAAACCTCTATTTCTCAGAGAAAAAAATTTACCTTAATGTTACAAACACATTTTCAAATACAATACATTCAAATACACTTGCTTCAGAAAATTTATTTTTCCCCTAAAATGCTATTTTCACCTTCTCATTTTGCCAAAAGAATGAACATCTAATGAGTACCCACAGAACATCCCTCGATTTATTTTTGGCTTATTCCTCTGCCATCTTATTATAAATATTATTCATCTCATCTCTTAGAATCTTCAGACACCGACCCAGCCAGGCTTATGAAATAACCAAGTTGGTCTCTGCCCAGAGGATGTGGCTAGTAGATCTGACTGGCAAGTGAGGCATCACCTTTGGGTTAGCAGCATAATTCCCTGCCCACTAGGCACCAGGACTCCATTCACTAATCCACCAAGTCAGAAATATGAATGTTCATCTTCGTTTCCCACCTCATTTCCTCACACCAAATCTATCACTGGGCTTTAACTTTGAGTTCTTGCAATTTTAAGTCAATACCTCTATCCATCCACACTATCATTTATCTTATACAGATGATAGCATTAGGCTTTTTATTCTTTCTTATCAAATTTTGCTCCCATCCATTCCATGCAGTCTTCTTTCTATTCTACGCCATTGTTGTTTTATGTACTGTGGAGTTGGAACCAACTTATAGTTGACCCTCCCATGGGTTTTCAGAAGTAAGATCGTCCATCTTTTTCTCATGGAGCACACAGTGGATTTGATCCTCATGCCTTTGGGGTGGCAGCACAACGTCTGACCACTAAGCCTTCTGCTTAACATCCATGAAAGCCTCTGGTCTCAGAATCAATGGCACAGGATACGACAGGGTTCAGGCCTGTTAGTCATGGTGTTTCTGTGTGCTGTACTTGACTTGACAGCATGTAATAAGGACAATTTACCTGGCAGATAAAACAGATGTATAATTTGGACTTCTGCAGTTCTTTATAGCCTGGTCCCACTCTATCCTTGACATTCTTGCTTTTCAAAGAGGAAATAAGGCTCTCTTATCTCAAAGGTCACTACTACAACTGCTAGCCCTATGTTTGGAATATCTTTGACTCTTCTTTATTACTCCTACCCCAGTTCTGAACTTTCTGTTGTTGTTAAGTGTCACTGAGTCAACTATATACCTCAGAGATCCTGTGAACAACAGGTCACATCCAATATTCTTAAGCCCACTGTTACAGTCAATGTGTCAATCCATCTCATTAAGGGTCTTCCTGTCCCTCCACTTTTCCCAGTATGATGTCTTTTTCCAAAACTGGCCCACTCCTAACAACATACCCAAAGGATGAAGTTTCACCATTCTTGCTTCTAAAGAATACCCTGGCTACACTTCCTCAATGGTAAGACTGTGTGTCTTTCTTTAGTTAGTCCATTATATTCAGTACTCTTCTCTAATACCTCCATTCAATTACAATTCATAGATCTCAATTAAGTCCTTTTTCCAGGAACTTCCTTCTAAATACTGCCCATGTATCTCCCTTGTAGTAATCAGTCTCCAAGATTTATCACCCAGCAGTCCCTACCTTGTGCACTCATACTGTTATACAGCCACCTCCCATGCTGTATAAGGACTAGTGTTTGTGAGAATATGGTAGAAGTGATGGCCTGTCTTGTCCAAGATCAAGTTACAAAAACAGCGTAGCTTATGTTTCGGCCTCTATTTCTTATTTAAGGAAAATCTGCTGCTGTGCCCTGAGTAGCCCTAAAGAATGGTCTTGCAGTGAGTAACTGACGGCTTCTGCCACAGAGACACCCTGCTTTTCACACTCGTGAGCTTGCAACCAGATTCTCCAGCTTCAGTCAGGGAGTTACAGTCCTGACCTACTTTAGCCTCATGAGAAACTGAATCATAACCACCCAGTGGTTATAATAACCCCATTTCTACAGCAAGCATGTAGAAACATACCTGATTTACACAGAAAGCAGGTGTGTTGTTATTAGGTTTATAGTTCTGCTGAGAAAGCTGAATCTGAACATTCTATATTCAATTCAAATATCACCTCCTGACCTTTATCTACCAGGCAAAAATCTACTTATTTGATCTTGTTCTAATTTATATACATAATAATCATCAAAGCACTTTTCATATTTTTATACACATCTTCCTTATAAACTACATTTTATACTTTATGAGAACAGTCCATATCTTACAACACTCTATCCATAATACCAAAAGCAATACTTTCCATATAATACACATTTCATAAATCTCTCTTATTTAAATAAGTATATTATACTTAGTAATTGGTGTGTATGATTTGCTATATTTTACCTCCTTCAGGACAGGGACTATGATGTTTTGCAGACTCTAGGAACTCTAAGTATAGTGCTAAAATCCAAAATAAACTATAGTAAAGAAATGCAGAGAAAAACAAAGAAACTTATTGCAAAGTTTGGTTGTCTTTGTTGTTGCTCATCTTTCTCCCACGGAACAGCTGGTGGATTCAAACTCTGTACCTTTGGGTTGTCTGGTGGCCTAGTGGTAAGAAGCTTTGCTACAATCTCAAAGTCACAGAGCTCAAATCCACCAGCTGCTCCACAGAAGAAGGACAATCTCTTCTTGTGTGATTTACTGCCTCTGAAAACCTGCTGGAGGGTCAGTTATTGTCAGTGATGACTCGACAATATACACAACAACAAGCCTAATGCAGGGGAAATCCAGATGAGGACCTGATGTTTCTCCTGGACTGGACACTGCAGGAGCTGCTCACACTGGCTTACAAGCAGGACCCTAGCATACTCATTAGCTTGGATTGGTCCTGGAAGCTTTTCTTTTTTTTTGATCGAAATAGTAAGCAGATAGAAAAAAGGAAGGATTTAAAAAAGAAAATTTCAAAATAGCGATGAATGTTAAACACCTTTCTCCACAAGAAATACATTTTTACTGATAAATGGGCACAAAGTTACTTTAAAGTAAAAAAAGCGGAATTAGAATATCACTCTTCCCCTCCCTGCTTACCATGATGGATTTCATATTCTTTGGTTCCTTGTCCTTTAAATACTGCTAGACACGGCTGTGAAACATAGAGTTTACTACAGAAGTCTGGTGCAGAGTAGCAGTCAAAACGGCCAATCTAAAGCAGAAGGAGAAGGTTAACATTCAATCTGACATAAACATCTATGCAGTTTTTAAAATATTCATAAAGGTAATTAAAATGACTCTGATCAGTACATTTCTAAATAGAACTTAATAGGCTAATAAAAAGTAAGAGATAGAAAAATATTAACTTACATTTAATACCAATACTTAACTTAAAAAAAAAGCCTTCTTAATTTGGAAGGATCATTAGTATAAAACAAGAAGCAGAAATAATAAAGAGCAAGCATGACAAGTTTAGCTACAGTGTGGAAAAAACCCAGCATAAATAAAGTTAAAAGGCAAATGATACACTGAACAAAAATCTTTTCAGTACACAAGACAAAATACCAAACCCACACACATCAAGTTAATTATGACTCATAGTAACACAGGACAGAGCAGAACAGCTCTTGGAGCTTCCAAGACTATAAATCTTTACATCTTCTCTCATGAGGCAGCTGTTGGATTTAAAACACTGACTTTTCAGTTAGTAGATCTGTTAATAAAATGGGAACAAACAAACATCCTATCAAGGAAAAGAAAACAGGTCAGAGATATAAAGATTAACTAGAAAAGAAATGTGATTGGTAAATCAAAATATCACTAGAAAGCAAAAAAGGGTAGGTGGAAACTCTTGACCTAGCACTTCTGGCTTATCAGAGTGGTGAGGGTTGCCAAAAGTGTGGAGAAATGAGTCCTGCATACTGTCAGGGAGAATCATAATTTGGTCAACTTCTTTAGAAAAGTTAAAAGAAAATATATCAACTTTGAGTAAAAATATTCTTATAAGAAAATAACTGGACAATTGCTACACTATTTGATAAAAAAAATAATGTAAACAACTTAAAAGCCAAATAAATAATGTAGTACAACCATGTAGTGAAATACTACTAAGCCTTTAGTGAGTAGATTTAATTTTGATTACAAGTACATGTAATAATGTTATCTGTCAATTACATATGCATGTATGTGACACATACAACTGCTGAGATACACTGCGATCCCATAGGCATGTGGTTCAAATCCACTAGATGGAGAAGGAGGGACAATCTCCTGCTGTACCAGTCAGATCCAATGTGACAGTACACACACAAAAAATAATAAAAATATTTAAAAAAAATTAAAAAAACCCAACCCAAAACAAAAAAAACTGCTGAGAAACTTACACACGTGTATATACACTCATAATGAATTTGTCAGTAATGTGAGCACAAGTGATTTCTGGATCTTTCTGATTTCTAATTCAGTTTTTTGTTTATATACATATATTTTTTCTGCTCGTTTTAAGACAGTGGGAAAGTAGTGAATAGAAGTAATATGAGTTTTTTTTAAAAGATACTTTTCATAATATGTACTTTTGAAAAAATGGCATTATTGTTGTTTAATTTTACAGCAACTAAAGAGATATGTGTTATCAGGTCAGTGTTTAACAACAACAACAAGTAACCCTACTTTTAATGAAACAAGAAAACATAGCTTTGAGTGTAAAACAGAAAATAGAACAAAACCACTTTAGAAACAACTTAAGGAAAATTTTCTGAGTTCTAGTGGAGTAACTGTTATTTAAAACTTAAATACTATGTACAATTTGATGGGCATAGGGAGGAGTGAAGGAAATAAGAAAGGGCACATGTGAAAAACAATGTATACAAACTGTAAATAAACCAGTATAAAATAAAAATGAAAAACACCCCAAAGTAAAAAAAAAAAAAATCAAGTAACTTAATGCTATGTAATACATTAATTAAGAAAGCACACAAGCTCAAGGAAAGGCACAATTTTTTTTTTCACTTACTTGAATATGTTCATGTTTTAGCAGAGCTTTCAGTTTCTTCAACTCAGGATCATGTGAATTTTGATTTTTTCCAAAATTAAAAAATATGAGCCACCTATGATGAGCTAAATGATCCTTAAAAGTAATAAAGAAAGTTCAACGACAAAATTCTAAGGGTTTTGACCTGTTATTTACTTGATTTACATTTTAACCAACCCATTGACTCATACTACTGTATAAAGATCTGATTCACCTATACTTTTACTTTGTAGTTTACTTACTACGTAAGTCACTTATATAGTAGTATAGCAGGATAATCTAAAAGCACGTTGCTTTAGAGGGGGAAAAACTCCTCGCTGCTCCTGTGGGGCTTCCAGAGGCAGTCAACGGCTTGGAAGGAGAATGCTCCATCTTGCTCTCTACAGTAGTAAATGTTACTTAAAACCTCATTTTTTAAATCCATACTAAAGAATTCAATAGCACAGAGGACAGAGAAATCAGCTATTGTGCATTTTAAGAAAGTTCGGTAAACGACACAGATCTAAAAATCTCTTGGATCAATAAAAAAAGGAAAAAAAAACAACTGATGATATCACAAACTGAATAGAGCTGCTTCTTAATGCTTAGCGAACAAGAATTCTTTATATAAGAACATAATATCCCAAAAGCATATGTAAAGTTTCTTTCTGTTAAAAATAATATCTTCTGATGCTGCCTTCTAGAGAAAAGGACTTGGGTTTAATTAGCAATATCTTCAACTCCCACAATTAGAGTTCAACTTAGAATTCACTATGAATGATTTCTTTGAACGATCACTTGATCAAATTCTCTTTTATGATGAATACAACAACCGATTTGAAAGTGATACTAACATTTATTTCTATTTAACATATTAGTTAAAACATTACCTCTAGTGTGTTTGCAGACAGTTGTTCAAAATCTGGAAGATTATTCATTATTTCCAAATATATTTCTTTAGCATCCAGTGAATTAAGAAACTAAAGTAAGAAAACAATATTTTTTA